AGATGTTGAATTTCATTTTCTTGGGCATATCTTATATACTCGCCCAAGCGGAAGATTCATGTTGAATTTTATAGCTTGAAAGAAGAAAGAAAGAACTACCTGTATTCAAGATTATCCAGTAAAGCTGAACATTTTCGCAATGCTCATTTGTGATTTTATTCACTGTTACCTTCCCTACCCTTGAGAAAATATTTTAACAAGTGGCGACAGTAAAAGGACAGCGGTTTAGTTGAAAACACATAGTTTCTTCATGTAGTATGAACTGAAGTAGAAGAAAAGACGAGCGAAGGTTCACAAATAAAGCCAGTTCTGAGAATTTTACTCCACGACGTAAATATCCCCAAATGATAACTGCAAAATGACTGACGCAGATGGTTCAAGTGAACCAGTTATCCTGGCTACAGCAGGCTATGATCATGCCATTAAGTTTTGGCAAGCACACAGCGGAATATGTCACCGCACAGTCCAGCATCCTGATTCTGTATCTTTTACAAATGCGAGGTGTTAATTGTGTTGTTTACTTTGTAAATAATGAATATCTCCTCTCTTATTACTGAAAGATGGGTCAAAAAGGGAGCTGTTTGTTTTTTGGTGATTTCTGTGATAATTTTTAAAGTATGCTTGGTTCCGACTTTTGACGTTTTGTTCTGACCCAGCTCTGCCTCTGTCCAGTGGCAACTATCATTGACATGTGTCAGCCATATTCTTGAGTCGTTACTCCGACACACTGGTAACGTATGCACAGGAACTCCTAGTAACCTTGCTATTCATGGGCAAGATTTTTTCTTTGTAACTATGATTGTACGTTATTTGCTTCAAACAGGGAAGAAACGCGAGAAAAGCAAACAACAACATATCATGTTGTTTTGAAAGAAAAAGTCATTCTCACTAGTGCCCACCCCCCTCCCGCTTCTAAATTTCATATTAGCACGGTCAATTAATTTAAAATTGAAATAAATAAAGGATATTACATGGCCGTGTGGGGATACGAAATTTCTGTTCGAGTGTTGAAAAATATTTACTTGGTCAGCTCAGTGAACAAGTGAAATATTTTTCAACATGAAAAGAGAAATTTTGTATCTCCAAGCAGCCATGTAATGTTCTATTATTATATCAACACCAATGAAATAACAAACCATTAAAATTCTGCTGCGAAAGGTGTGATTTATTATGTTACCTTAGCAACGGTGTTCTTTTCTCATATGAAAATAAAATACTATTTTTACTTGTGAAGATGTCATGTTTTTGCAAGAAAGCTTGCCTGGTATTTCATTGTTGTTTATATAATAAATGCCATTGTGTCTTCTCTTACAGTTCTTCAGTCTGTAATTTGAATTTCTTCAACAGCTTTCTTCAAAATATGTTCACTTGCGTACATATATATAATTTTGAAGGAATACAGGCCAGAAAAGCTGACTGAGTTTTTTAATGAGCCTGCTTAGTTTTTTTCTTAGCCCTGACTCTAAGGGGTATTTTTTGAAGGTATCAAAAGCTAAAATTCATACTGACTGTAAAGGAAAGTTTTTAACTAAACTGAAATTTACAGAGGGGTGGGTGGGTTCTGACAAAAAAAATCCTTCCATGGTCGGGCACGAATATTTGCTGGAATGATATGTTATTCTATTGTCTTGTTGTTCTTTTGATTATATTTGCTAGTTACATTCCTTAACTGCTGTCATAGCAAGTCAATGCCATGCAGATTACTCCAGACAGGCAGTTATTGGCAGCTGCAGGTAATTAGTCCAGTGCCATTTATTCTCAGGAAGGACTCAAATCTATTAAATTGCAAAATGACTCAATACTTATCAGGGTTGTCATTAAAGTTTTGAGTCATTTGTTCCCCTGATCTTCACACTTGTAACAAACTTGTTGCTTTTTGAGTTATTTATATCTGTCCAAACAATGGACAAGTTCACCTGTAACATCAAGGGTTCATCAGTCATACTCAGCTGTAACAGGTGTTGTGGGTTACAGTCCTTAAAGACACCCCTGCTAAACATTTATGTCAAGATTAATGTATGAATAACATGACTTGTTGAACACTTTAGTGAGGAAAATAATTATTAATACTGGGATTTGATTTTTAAAGCATGATTAGGGTTAGATATCTATTCAGTACTGCCCCTAGCTTTAACGCTAGTACTTATAAAATTCTAGTGGCCTGCAGTGTCTGTTAATAACATATGCCTACAGGCATCTTCCAACTTGGGGGAGAGGGGTGGGGGTGTGTTGACCTTCTTACTCTCCAAAAAATGACACAATGACTGAATGCATGAGAGTTGAAATCAGGATTCAGCTCTCAAATTGCAACTTGAAAACAGTCACTTGGAAGGCCATCGGTAGTACTACCCCCTCAGACACCTAAACATTACCTGTATTTGATATGGCTTGTAACGGTATTAGTTTTACATTATTGTTAGTAACATTATTAACATAATTTCCACAATCTGTAAATCGCTCATTGGTCAATATTGATTTGATTTTGATGTTTGAATTGAACATGTCAATTGATACTCTTAGGACTTTTATCATAAACCATACATCAATTTTCATTAATTTGAATGTAAAAATGACCTATTGCACTTTGTTGCTGCCAGTGACAAATTTTATTATTCTTAAACTGCATACTGTTTAATAATGGTTTTGTTTACTTTTGGCTCTTGATTCAGGATATCAACATATACGTATGTATGACATCAATTCAAATAATCCAAGTCCGGTAAGTCTCGTGTTTACAGTACTTTTATTAGCAATATAATTTAATTAACTTTTTTTAGTTTGAGGGTCTGTGATTCCACTGGCATGAGTCACTGTACATGTACCGTGGTCTTGAGTACGACACTTAACTCCCACAGTGCTTTTCTCCACTTACAAATATGAATCAATAATAGCGAATTATCAGGCTAGGGCAACACCACAAAAATATATATGCTGGGGGAGGGGGACAATCTGTGATGGAGTAGCATCCCGTGGGGGTAGGGGATAGCAATACTCCTCATCCCATAATGAGAATGGTACAATACAATTTGAACAATGACTTTATTTATACTTATGGTATTTCCATCAGTCTATTTTATGATAATCAACTTCCTAACTATCATAGAAGAATAAAAATTCCAAAAGGGCACAATCTTGAAAATGACTTTGAAAAGTCCAAAAAAAATTATTTTCACATTTATCCCATGGAAATTTAAAAGTTATCATCCAGTTTGTGGAAAAAATATTATTTAGACAAAATGCTTTGTGACTATTACAAGCACTTTTTTATCAAGAGTTATGTATGAGCGAGGTATAGGTTGAAAATTGGAACAAGTCCATAATCTTCCCTTTCTTTTGTCTTGGAAATGTCACAGAAATCCAGTAAATTACATTTTTTTCTCGTTTAACAATTCATTTTCATATTGTCATCTTTAGGTAGTGTTCTTCATTTAGGCACATATTTGTATAAGCAACATTAGTTACTTGGTGGTCATAATTTTAGCACCATTTTGACCAAAAGTAACGTGTAGAAAGTCCTTGTACTCTGGGTACTGATGTCTTGCTCCTGATCTGTAGGACTGAAAAACACTTTCATTGAATTCTTAGCTTTGCTAAGTTGTATCCTGTAACTGTCAGTTTAAGAAAGAAATACCCAATAACTTCACCTTTTGGTTCTTTTTGTAAGGTTGTGAATTATGACGGTGTGTCAAAAAATGTGACTGCTGTTGGATTTCACGAGGATGGTAAATGGATGTTCACTGGTGGCGAGGACTGCTCAGCCAGAATATGGGACTTACGGTACTGTATGTCCCTCTGTGATTTGACCTTTATCAAGATATATGTGCATCCGAAATTACTATTTAAGCAGGCTCTGTGAGTAATGACCTTGCTGCTTCCAAACTCAGTAAAATAGAGACTCATATCCACTCATACTGTTGTTAATAAATTCTTTGCGAGAAAAAGGAATGTGAGGGTTCAAACTAATTACATTTCAGTAAGGTTTATAATATTTTAATATAATATTATAATATAATATTTTGGTTATTTATGTTGGGGGAGGGGAAAGCAAACCGGGGGAGGGGGATGCTAGGCTCAGTTTCCAGCCATAGGCATTCCTACCTTTTACTCCTTACCTTGCTTTTGTGGAATGAAAATGTGGGACATTTTTATTTTTGATTACAGGTCCCATAATTTACAGTGTCAAAGAGTTTTCCAAGTTAATGCACCTGTAAACTGTGTTTGCCTCCATCCTAATCAGGTAAACAAACAACTTGAATTTAAAGCTGTCAATTAAACTTCTAGTGCATGATCAAGGCATAGTTTTGTTTGCGATTTGGAAGTTAATGAAAATGGTCATTTCTACCCAAACCATTCGCGGTGCCAATAATTTATATACACCTGAGTACTGAACCTGTAAACACGAATTTTGTTTATTGGTAGTATCAGTGTGTGCAAAATATAAGTTGCTAAATGCTAAATGCTACTTAAGGGTTGCCCTGTTTGTGTAAAATTGTGTACCATAACACAGTTAAAATACAGTAACTTGTAGGTGTGTTTGTAGGCAAATTAAATGATGGTTAACTCTTAAAATATTATCACGTTGTTTTAGGGTGAGCTCATTGTTGGTGATCAGAGTGGTGCAATACATATGTGGGATCTGAAGACAGATCACAATGAACAGTTGGTAAGAATAGTTGAAACTTTGATGTAGACATACCAACATGTAATTCATCTAAGATCAAAGAGGTTTTTAGCCATTACTGACATACACTCATACTTATATAGACTACAGAAATGATATCATAGAATGTCAAAACCTTGCTGTGAAACCACTTACTTCACCTGTGGTTTCACCTGGATTATAACCGTTTTATGACATTATGTCCTTTGTTTGTAGGAGTGTCAAGTCACAAGTAATCTGTGTTCATATGGATGTACCTTCCTCCCTCCCTTGTTCTCTCTTCCTCTCTGTTCTCTATATTTTATTTACCCTCTGCCCACAGCACAATCCATTCCTTCTTCCTCTTCCTCTATCTGGTAACAATACATGTAATTAAAAATCCACATTTTCTACTTTATTTCGTGAATATTGCAACTTCTTTTTCTTTTTTTTCTTTTCTGTATAGATTCCAGAATCAGATGCTTCAATCCTGTCCATTAGTATTGACAGAGAAGCATCCTACATGGCAGCTGTCAATAATCAGGTAATTTTATGTTAGATTGCTGTGTGCCTTTTAAACACACTGCAATCTAATTAAGCATTGTGTCTAGACAGATCTGTCTTCAAACGATATATAATGTGATATTCTGAAGATGTTCTGAAGATGTTTCAGGACATTGCCAGAAACCTGAGAGTTGATGTATAGCACAGTATTTTTTGACAAAATGTGAGTTGTCTAGAAATGTGAGGAAACACTATAATAACAATAATAATAATAATAACAATAACGATAACGATAACGATAACGATAACGATAACGATAACGATAACGATAACGATAACGATAACGATAACGATAACGATAACGATAACGATAACGATAACGATAACGATAACGATAACAATAATGATAAGGATAATGAGAAAAACAATATTTACAGAGTATTTACACTCATTCAAGTGTTTGCTAGTTACATTTTCTGAATCAAAACTAAAATTGATAAACAGAGAAATGAGATCATAACAATCTATGCTAATTAATATCAGACTTCCAAAACCTCCATTGTGATTATAACTTCCTTTGTTTTAACTTGATGAATTATAATAATTATAAATGAAAACGAGAAGCTCAAAATTTAAAAAAACCTGACGTACTTCTCCCCTCTATTCAGTATAACATTGCTTTAATTTGTTAAATTAATATTTTGCATTTTTTTCCAATAATTGAAGGGTAACTGTTATGTATGGAGCTTAACTGGTGGTACCAAAGATGATCCAACTATGCTACACCCCAGGACAAAAATCCCTAGGGCACATAAAAGAGCAGCCCTTAAATGCCTTTTTAGTCCAGACTCATGGTGAGTACTTTTTATTACATCTGCATTTATGTCATCCATCAGGCTGGTTCTGGTGCTTATCTCCAGTTGAAATCAGAAGCATGAAGTAAATTGGAGCATTTCAATTCCTCCTTGATGGGGCGCTAGTCCATTGTGAGGTTACCCCCTTACGACCCCTTAGCATTTAGTTTCTGGTATCCATTTATCTTCATGGGCAGAGAGAGGTCCTGTGAGAGTGACACTCGACCCAAGAACACAACACAGTATTATTCATAAATCAGCAACAGGGCTCCAAAAGTGGGTCATTTGAACCCAACCCACTGAGTCCACTGCGCTAATGTGTGCCAATTACTGCTGATAGTTCTTTTAATCAACTGAAGTTCCTATTCCTTATGTTAATTCAAGGTTGAACCTTAAGACTCAATCATTTATAATAAGAATTTCCCTTTCCACAACTTCTGAGACACCATACACAGACAACTTCAAAATTAAACTCAAAACTGAAAATATACACAGTATATTAAAAACAGCAAGAAAATTGAAAATCATCTTTAATGTTATAAAATTTAAGTGCCTCTCTTGAATAGGCCTTCTTCCTCTTCATTTTTTCCTGAGTACTTAGACGGTGAAGGTTGATGGTACATGTGCATTTGTCATATTTATTACATTCATTTGCTTTTGTTTTTGGTGCAAATGGTTAATTAACATAATTGGAAACCAAAACCTTGACCTGAGCATGGTATTTTGTAAATCAGTTTGGCAGACTAACTTTAACACTAACTTACTCAGTGGATTGTCAAATTATCTCTTTCTTTATCATTGATCAATATATAGCTTCTTAGCCACAACATCTGCAGACACAACAGTTAATATATGGCAGACAGCCGACTTCTCTCTTAAAAAGACTCTGAAAGAAGCTAATCAACGATGGGTGTGGGATTGTGCCTTCTCAGAAGACTCGCAGTATCTTATCACAGGTATGATACACAGGTGCTAAAAATATGTTGTGATGTTATCAGAATGAAAGGAATGATTGGAAACACAGGGAAAAAGAGATCTATACTAGTATCACTCAAGTGATAGTAAAGGTGAGATTAACACCTTTAAGAATACTGATAGTGACAATAAAATGAAAATTAAAATATATCTGGCTTCCTTAAGCTTCCAAAATACCCTTCGGCCAGTCAAACTTTAAACCAAAACCTGCTTTACTCTTCCCCTGGAAATTAAAAAAGACACTAGAGAATTATGTCATGTCTCCCTTGATAATGAAATTGTCAATTTGTTGTTTCCTGACAATTTTTGCATCTTCTTGTCAGTTTTGTTCTTGAGTACTGGTACACGTAAATCTGAGCTATGAGTGTGGCTTCTGTTTGAACAGGGCATTTAAGTATTTTAAGCCACAGATATTATTTCTTATACCAGAAATAGTTAGTCTTTGAAAAGCTTTTTCATTGTTCTTCTTGGCTTCAGCGTCATCTGACAACATGGCACGCCTTTGGAATCTGGAGCAGGGGGAGGTCATCTGTGAATACAGTGGACATCAAAAAGCTGTAGTAGCTCTGGCATTTAGAGATGCACATGCCGTGTAGTCAAAAATCAAATAAAATGCCTTATCATTCTTACTACAAAAGTCAAAGGCAGCAGTAAGTCAAAGACAGAGGAGTATGATTATGAGAACATCTTTATTGGACAATGGATGATTTCCTCAATACCATGTTGTGTCTTTGGTACACTGTTCATAATTATTTTAGTCGTAACCATAGCCGCTTTAGCAAGAAGATAGCGTGGTTCCCAGTATGCTAGCATACAAGATGGCTTAGACTGGGACAATATCCTAATTTTTGTTTTCACTCAGCTTGTATTCCCAA